CAAAAAAAAAAACCAAAAACAAAACTCATAATATAAGCCAAATGAATTCACATTCATGATATATAATAGTAGAACCGTTGTAAATACACAACACATATATACATAACATGAAAAAGTTCCAAACCTGAGGGCCGTAAACGTCAAAGAAGGGTTTGTGTTTAGGGTCTTTGCAGGTATTGTGTTGTTCGTCGGGCGTTTCTTCTGTTTTACTGTTCTGGCAACTCATTTTAGTTGTGAAGAGAGGACGGAAGCAACATGGAGGAGTACCTCGTTAGGGTCGGAGCCTTCTTATACATTTTTTTCATGAAAAAGGTTTCGAAAATGTTTTTTTTTCTTTTAAATGTTTTTTACAAAAGGTGATTTTACATAGAGCAAAATTTCTATGATTTTCATTTTCTTGAAAAATTTATCTGAAGATTTAAATAACAGAAAAAGAACTGACGACAACAGGTTTCTAATTCGTTTTCGGGAGTTCATAATTAATTTTAAGAAAAATAATCATGACTTTTCGCATATGATGGTTAACAAACTCATAGCTTCTTTTTTTGATTGGCTCAACACATTATTAGTTTTTGAAGTACTTAAAAGTTCAATAGGTTTATATTAGCCTAGCTAAAAGTTGGTTCCCAGATTAATTAATATGGTTAGCATAGTGTAGGGAAAAAATAAATAATATATATAGAGAGAGAGTGTACTAAAGCGTTTTTGCTTTCAGGTTATTTAAAAATATGTTTCTAACTTTTAAAAATAATCAAGGGAACATAAATTTTAATCAACGTATAATATCTTGTTAAGGACATTGATAAAAACAGACTCCTAAATATATCTTATGTATTGATATTTCTTCTTGACGATAGTTAGTGTTATTAGTACTTTCTCACTTCGTGTTTTAGTTCATTTAACCTCTCTCATAACAATATTTAATTTTTTTTCATATAAAGTTAAGATAAAGAATAATGCAAAAAACTCACTAATCCATATTGGTACGATAACCTTTTTATTACTCGAATAGGTTGATAAGTATACTGCTGTTGTTTTTTAAACCATTTGTTCCATGTTGGCATGGATGGAGTCCATCCAAGTTGAACGAAATACACAATGAAGAAATATGGCAACTATTTCCTCTCTTATACATAACAAGTTAATTTGGAAACGGTCTTTTTATCTCTAACGAGATAGGGGTAAGGTCTGCATACTCACCTTTCCCAGATTTCACTTATGGGATCACACTTAGTATGTTATTATATACATAACAAGTTAATTTGCACGAGACGAGGCATGCCAAATAAGCGATAAACAAGCCAAAATTATCGCTTCTGAAGGCATGATGTAGGCCATCACAAACAATTTACATTTTTAAATTAAAGAATTACATCTCTCTCGCTTCTGCGTAACACCTACTATCGCCAACTAAAACCCTAGATGCTAATACTTTCTTTGCAGTTAACATCCTCGTTCCACCACTATGGCACCGTGATTTTCATCTAATTCTCTTTTTTTAAACAAATTAAGTTGTATGTCTTTGATATTGTCTGCTCTTTGTGGTTGTCTGTGTCCTTTATGACTGAGTTGATAAGTTTTTTTCGCTCTATATTTGTTTTATTTTTTTTCTTATTTGTGACTGATTTTGCTTTTTGACTGATAGTAAAATGGATGATATTTCTCGTACAATTGAAGATCTAGCTTGATTGGATTTGGGAGAACTAGAGGTCACGGATGGAATCAATTATGACCGTTGTCTGGTAGACAGATTGCTAACACACAGATCTATCAATGTCAAGCAATGAAAAATACTCTGGCAAGTATCCGGCGACCTGGGCGATATATGAAAATAAAGAATTTGGGAAGCTATTGTATCCTATTTTGCTTCAAGATATTCAACATGTGTTAGTCCTTCAATAATCTATTGTTGTTACACATGCTATAAAGTGAGGATTTAGAGCAAGTGGAATTGTTTCATTCTAATTTCTCGTTTAAGTGCATGATCTTCCTCCGAGTTACCTGTCTGAGGTAGTGGGTAAACAAATTGACAATCTCATTGGGTCCTTTGTAGTTATGATGCTTGAAACGTTACTAGAAAGCCTAACATGATGCTTGAAAAGTTACTGGAAAGCCTAACGTTTTTATGCGCATAAGGGTCTGGATTGATATTCGAGAGCCATTGAAACGTTCTAAGTATATTGCCAGGCGTGGAGAAAATATTTCTACTTTTAGTTAGTTATGAAAGACTACCATTGTTTTGAGTTATCTGTGGTTGTTTGGGATATGAGTATAATACTTAGGAGAAAATTTCGTGTTACAAAAGGATAACATCGTTAAATATTAGGGGCCTAGGCTAAGGGCAGTTCTAGAGCAGAGGGTGCAGGCGTCTATGGCATGGTTAGAAGAAGATGATGCATATAGTAATTTTAAGTTTGCAAAAATCTTTTCAAGAGGGAATACTGATAAGTGGGGATTTTGACTGCTTATTAACGCCTTTTAACTTTTGTTTTAATTTAAAAGCATTGAATTATGCTTTCGGAACTAATGAAATTGTACAAAATTTGCATGAATGCTAGAAGTTGGGCTCCCGAGATGAAATCCGACTCAAAGAGGAGTAGTCCAAGCACAAGGCAACAAAGGGCACAGAGGCACACAATGTGCGGTCCGCATAAGAAATTGCGGACCGCAGAATTCTACCTGCGGCCGCAAATAAAGAAGGAAAACTCAGCAGATATTTGTGCAAATTGCTGTCCGCATATGAATTGTGCGGCCGCAAAAGATGGACTAAAGGTCAAGATCAGAGAGATTGCAAAAAGACCAAGTCTAGAGCTTCAGAGAATTGCGGACCGCACAAGATTTGTGCGGTCGCAATCCTACTATTGCGGACCGCAGAAGAGTGATTTGCGGTCGCAGCTCTAAATCTGCGGACCGCATAAATGTTGCCTCACGACCGCAATTCAGAATTGTGCTGCCGCAGAATCCCAGCTCTTGTTAGATGAAGAAGTCTGCGGACCGCACATAGAATTGTGCGGCCGCAGAACCTCCCGAGGGATATTTTTGTCCTAAATTTTTAGACTTATATAAATAGACGAGTTTCACAAAATTAGGTCACGTTTTGAACATCAACAATTAGTGTAGCTGTTTTTCTTTGCCCCTTTTGGAAGTTTACTATATTTTAGTGTATTTTACAATAGATTTTATTATTTTAAGCTTATATTATGGGTTTAATTAGTTTTTCTTCTTCTTTTTCTTCAAACTTAAGTATGGGTAGCTAGATTTTTACTAGGGTTGTGACATACCCCCAGTGTGTTAACCTTATGGATAATTAAATTAGTATTTATTTATGATTGGGTATTTATTATTTAGCCTAATTCATGCTTTAATTTGAGGAATTAATGGTTGCAAACATTAGTTCATATATATTTGACTTAGTCTCTTCTTGAGAAAGAGAGACCTAGTCTAGGATAACTTGGCTAACAAGGAATTGGGTCAATTGAGAGATTGATTCACCCAATTAAAGGGTTCAACCAAGAGATAGTAATAACCCGACTTGAGCTTTTATCAACTATTTTGTGTGATACCCATTTGGTCTTGAGAAAGCCAAATTGGAAAAAATCACTCTCTGACCGAGAGGTATCGAGTGGATAATTTAGAGTTGATAGCTATAATATACCCCAGTCAACAGAACAAGCATTAAAGTCTTTATCCCACTAGGCAAACACCTAGGCAATGGTCACAACCCTAGGCTTTTTATCAATTTGAAAAACCTCAAAAATAATTATCCTAGTCTTCTTTCTTTATTCTGCAATCTTTAGTGTAAAATTAGAAATAGAAAACAAACCTTTATGTAGAAGTGCAAATCAAGATAATTAAATCACGCGCATTAAAATATATACCCATAACTCCCATCTTAGCTCCCTGTGGATTCAACCCGGACTCTTAGTTGGGTTACTATAATTGCAAATAATCATTTCATACCTTTTTAGAGGTGTGAATTTGGATGCGATCAATTTTTGGCATCATTGCTGGGGAGTTAAAAACTGTGTTAGCTATATATTTGGGTATATTTTTTGGAGTATCTTCTTTTCCTTCCGTGTTACTAACTTGTTTGAGAAATCAAAGGTACAACCATGGCAAATAATGAGCTCGAAAATATTGCTTTGGGGGATGTGGACATTGAAGATGACCAAGTGGATGAGGTTCCTCTTGAACCTCAAGCCAATAGAAGGGACCGAGTACCTCATGACAATGTGCCCGTCCCACCCTCACCTCCACCATGAGTGGCTTCATACCGGGTATTATCCAATGAAGGATATGCAAGTACAATAGTCCCGCTCCATATTCGGGCGGGCAACTTTCAAATCATTAACATGATGCTTACTTTGCTAGAGTAACGAGGTTTCTTCACCGGTGTTCCAAGTCAAAATGCATACAAACATTCGAAGAAGTTTGTGGAAACTTGGTGGGGAAGCAAGCAGATAAATGTCTCCGGGGATGCATTGAGGCTAAGGCTTTTTCCCTTCTTTCTACGAGAAAAAGCTTTAGATTGGTTGGAACATTTGCCGAACCATTCCATTCTCACTTAGGATGAGTTGGCAGAAAAGTTTATTTCTAAGTTCTTCTCTCCGGGACATATGGCTACACTTCGGGATGAGATTCTATCATTCAAGCAAGAGCCCAATGAACCACTACATGAGATATGGGAGCGATATAGAACAATGGTCAAGGAATGTCACAATAATGATATGACGGAAAACATGATTCAATAAACCTTCTATCATGGGATTAACACGACCAATCAATGTATGGTGAATCAACTTGCCGGTGAAAATTTTATGACTACGCCTTATGCGGAGGCGTGTGAGATTTTAGATGAAATGGAGGAAACACCATCGGCGTGGCAATCCCTGGCTAATGTTCCACAAGGTGATCCCAACGTGATCCACCTTCACAAAGAGTTGCATGATCATGGGCAAGCCATAGCCGAATTGACTACCACCATGAATCAACTAGAAAAGGCTCAACTTCAACAAGTGCAAAATCCTGAGCAAGTCAATGCCACGGAGGGAGTGAACATGATGGTGAACAAAAGGAGAACCAAGGGTCCGCAAGTGCAACATCGAGTGAACAATTTTGTGCAAGAGGATAGTGGTTTTAATCAAGATGATTCTTACAATGACCAAGAAGAGGATGTACAATATGTGAACAACTTTCAAGGACAACAAAATAACTTCCAAGGCCCAAGCCAACAACGATGGCGGCCTCAAAATAATCAAGGCAATTGGAATTCTCACAATCAAGGAAATTGGAATTATGGAAACAATTAAGGAAATTGGAATAGTGGAAACACTCAAGGGAATTGGCATAACAATAATAATCAAGAAAATTAGTGAGGTAACAATCAAGGCGGATGGAACAATAATCACGGCAATCGGTGGTCGGGTTTTCAAAGGCCCCTGATGTATCAACAACCGAACAACCCGCCTCCTTATCCTTCCCGTAGTCCTAGTTCTTTAACCAATGAGATGGGGCGTATTGAAAACATGTTCAAGAAAATGATGGAAAAGAATGCCTATTCGGATGTCCAACTTGCCTCACACAACACATCGATCTGTAACTTAGAAGTTAAAATGGGGAAAATCTCTTAAACTCTCAATTCCCGTCCTAAGGGGGCACTACTAAGTGACACGGTGGTGAACCCAAAGGGTGGGAACAACACGGGGCATTCCATGGCCATTACTATAAGAAGTGGAAGAGGTGGGAATGCACTCACCTCAAGACAAAGGCAACTTGTGGATGATGAGTAAGTGGTATAAGAAGAGAAGGACCCGAAAAATATGGTGCAAGCAAATGATGAAGTTCAGATTGATATTGATAATAATGTGGAAGAGACTCAAGAGGATATGAACTCGTCTAGGGATCACATTATTGACATACCGGAACCGGTAGTGCAAAAGGCTAAGGCACCATTGCCTAAGCCTCCACTCCCATATCCTTAAAGACTTGCCAAACAAAATGGCGAGAATCAATTCAAAAAGTTCATTTAAATGATAAAGAGTCTCTCAATAAATGTGCCATTAGTTGAAGCTTTGGAACAAATGTTTGGTTATGCAAAGTTTATGAAGGATCTTATGACAAAGAAGCGGTCAATGAATTTTGAAACTATCAAAGTCACTCATCAAGTGAGTGCAATTTTGCATTCAATGGCTCTTAAGTTGGAAGATCCCGGTGCTTTCACAATTCCTTATACAATTGGGAGTGCTGAGATTGCTAAAGCTCTTTGTGATCTTGGGGCAAGTATCAATTTCATGCCATATTTGATTTTCTAGACCTTGGGAATTAGGAAACCAAGACTCACCTTTATGATATTGCAAATGGTCGATCGTACCATGAAGAGAACTTTGGGAGTGATTGAAGATATTTTGGTTCGTGTTGATAAATTCATTCTTCCGGTGGATTTTGTCATTCTAGATTGTGAAGTTGATTATGAGGTGCCGATTATTCTTGGAAGACCTTTCCTGGCTACGGTAAAGGCTCTTTGTGATGTGGAAGCCGGAGAACTCACTTTCCGGGTGGGTGATGAAAAATTCATAATTTCATATGTGCAAGTTCATGCGGCAACCAAATAGCAATGAGGTGTGTTCTTTTGTGGACTTGGTGACCGGTGTTATTGTTAATTATAAAAGTGCCACAATCAATGTGGGTGATATGTTGGAGGCCGTCTTGCTCAATTTTGATGATGACGAGATGGATGGCTTCATGGAATATGTGAACTCTTTGCAAGGAATGGGGTCGTACAATTATGCATTCCGAAAACTATCCTTGGATCTTGAAAATAGGAAAATTCCTCCTACAAAGCCTTTCATTGAAGAGCCTCCTACCTTGGAGTTGAAGTCATTGCCTCCACATCTTCGGTATGAATTATTTGGCCCTTGTTCTACTTTACCGGTTATTCTTTCCTCT